AGGAGCCTACGTCGCTCCACGTGCTGTGTTCCCTCAATGCAGAGGGATGGGTGCGAAAACAGACAGTTTTTCCTCTTCCAGGGAACCAGCCTCTTGACATGAAACTCCGTGAAAGAGTGAGGCCTTTGGCTGTTTAAAACAAATTCCTGTTATATTGCAGTACAGAATGATAATGAAGAACACCACAGGAAATGTAGCTACTCTAGGGCCTCAACTGCCAGTCATCCTTCCTAGCTCATGCCAACTAGAAGTACTGAAGTTGTCAAAATAAATTATGATTAAAAGGGGAGATGTCACAGCAGATTATTCAGCTTTGCAAAATATTTCATAATACTATATATCATAAAAGTTAGTCTTTGAAACTCTAGACATCTACTTTCATTATTATTGTTATTGCAGAGTGTTAGATAAAAACGAGGCAAGCAGAAAGCATCAGTTTAATTTTGTACTCAAACATCCTTTTGAAAAAGAAGGGAAAAAGGAGGCGACTAGCATTAAGAAAGTTTGTGCAGTTCTCTTCAAAAGAAGTAACTCCATAGCTAAGTGAAAATTGTGAGACTGTGTTAGATTTGGGCTAAAGGTTCTGATGCTGGTCCCAGTGGGAGCATGAAAAGTGTATGAGAGCACTGACTGTTGGAGATTTTTCCGTAGGATTTTCTTTCTTTGCTTAAACTAGGTATTTTAGTTTCTGAAGTGCTGTCATTTTATGCTACGTTGTGCACTAAACTTGAAATGGAAAGGTTTGTTTTTTGGAGTTGAAATAGATGTATCATATCAGGAATTATCTGGGACTTCAGGTACCTGAAGAAATTATTTGTACTCTCAGGTGTGAAGGATAAAAGCATAGAAATATATAGACTGAATAATTTGGGGTTTCATTTCAATTCCATTGCGTGGCATATCAGCAGTATATTTAAGGAATTATTCTGAAGAAAGGTCTGGACAGTTTTGTGTCTATTTATGAAGCATGAACCAGTGAAAGTGATGTTTCTTCCTACATATTTACACCAGAAGTTCAGCTTATATGTACGCTGTAAGACTTAATGGATGACTGAAGAACTGGTAGGGTTTTGTCATTAGGAAATGCAGATGATAGAAAGAAAAAAAATTATCTTAGGTTAAAAATCCAGTGGTCTAGCTATGGTATCTCATTAAATTGCTCTGAAAATAACATTTTTCACTGCATAGAATATTTTCACAAGAGTTTTATAGGCTTTCATAAAATCTTATACAGCTGAAAATTTAAGGTATTCTTTAAAGGTTTAAAAACTGGTGTGTATGTGGGCATAAGGATCTTTTGTGGGTTCCTCAGTAGATGTGTTCTCATGAAATGTATGGCATACACTATTCTTGGTCAGAAACAGGTGTGTAAGAAATTTTACTTGTGCCTACTGAGAAACCCCTCAGCAGATATCTCCCAGAAGCCCCATAGCTGAACAAGGGAAAGCTGGAATTGGTATTCCCAGTGGTTTCTGTGTTGAAAGAGAGGCAGGAAAAATGGTTTAGATTTTTAAGCATTTTAAATTTTGCTTGTGCATTCTAAAGAAAAATATTAAGCCAGCAAAATGTTTTTCCCTTTATAAGCTTCTCCAAAGAGCTGAAAGTATGATTTGCTAGAAAGAACAAGCACATTACTCTTTACAAGGAGTCTAAGTTGAAAACTGATTGTATTTAAAATCAAACCCACAACTTTTTTCATACATAGCAATTTGCCTAAAGCTAGAGATGAAGAGGGATTTGGCCCATTCAGAATGAATGATCATCATAAATGCCTAAAAGTGACTTCAGTCAGTAGGGTCAATCTTAAACACAAATTTAAAAACATGTGGATGTGAAGTTTTTAGTTTTGAAGTTGAGCAGTGAAGAGTATTTAATGTATGTGCCAAAAAAAAAGGGCAGTAAAAACTTCTGTATGCAAAAAAATCCACCAAAATAAGGGTTTAAATACTTGTGTTCTGTAGATGTGTATTAGTTTGCAGTCTTGAATTGGGAAATAACGTCGCTTCTGGCACAGTCAGCAGTGACATAACCCCTAGCAGTTTGCATATGGCTCTGAGGCTCACAACCTGCTATTTTCAGGAAATTTTATCTATGAATGTGTTGTATGGCAAAAAGGTAGTAATAGGGAGCTGGGGTCATTCCCAGATACTCTGCTGAATCTTTGAAGGCAGAAAGCTTTACTAACAGTACTGGGTGCATCCACTCGGTGATCTACAAAAACAAATTAGGCAGGTTTTTCTGTTTCTTTTTAGCTTGGCTATTTGCTGAAGTAGCTGTTGTTTCAACCTGCTGAATTTATTTCCTTTAGCAGAGGACAGCAGCTGGTTGATTCTTTCCACCCAAAAGTTCAAGAAATGTAATAATATGCATTGTTTCATTGTTTTTTGCTCCGTCCCACACATTCCTGGAAGGCCATGCAAGGGAGAAATAATTCAACAGAGCAAAGAACATAAAGGCCTCTGTCTTTTTTTTTTTTTCTTTTCCCTTTCCATTTCTTTTATGCAGAAACTCCACTATTTGTTTCCAATGCAAAGACATCTTTAAGTGAAAGACCATTGCTGATGCAGCAGCTGAGCGGAGCAGTGGCAATTTCCTGCCTCTGAGGCAGGGCGCAGTATTAATTCATGGAGTTCTAGTCTCTGTTGTTTGAATTTCCCCTGTGTCTTCAAGTCAAAAAACAAACAAAACAAAACTTTGCAAGCAAGTTTGGGTTAAAAAAGAATCCAACATGCTGAATAGAACCTAGAGGCTAGGAAACACATCTCTAAACTAGGTAATGCCTGTGGGTGTAATGGGCCAAGTGGCTTGGCAGTTCGTGGTTGTGAGAAATTCACAACAGTAACATATGTCCCTCTGTAGAAAAAGTCTTGGGCTTCATTTATCCACATTTTTCAAGAATTTTGGAAATACACAACTGTATTTGAAGTGTTATGGCCTATTTTTTTCTTGAGCTGCTCAAACTATCCCGAAAGATTATAGAGATGAGAGTAGGTAAATACAAGGGACATAAAAAGAATAAAATAGAAACATGAATATTTTGCAGTGTGTTTGTTAGTAGCACTAGAATGTAGAAGTTATAGTAAGGCAGTACATGTCCCATAATTAGGCTTTTTGTCCCATAATTAGACAAATGCTTGTTTTACTAATTCTTAGCACTCTGAAGGTGCATAACATTGCACAGCCGTTAACTGTTTGTTAACATTCAAGATCCAGTTGCAAGTGAGAACCAGCATACTTGCTGCAGTCAATTACTTCAGGTCTTCACTGCAGCTAGATGTTTTTCTTCAGATGGAGCTGATGAATGTGAGACTCCCCAAATCGTTAGAGTGGCAATATACATATTTTTTTACCATCTCTTTAATGTAATTTCCCAGTGTAAAGGGAGGTTTTTTTTCCATGGCAGTTTAGAGAAGTGTATGCCAAAGAAGCCTTTTGTAAAATACAAAGCACTCCTGCAGGAGGACTCTCTGGCAGAACAAATTTTGCAGCTAGGTTTTTTTTAGTCATGTCAGAAATTCTGAAAAAGTGTATTCAAGGCTGACTGTGGGCAGAAAAAAAATAATTAACAACC